TTTTATGTTGCTCTCAATTTTGTGTATTACACTTAAATCGTGATATTTGTACCATATACACTTTTATAATTTTTTTTACTCTACATATGAAAAAATAAAAATAAAAACCCTAGTTGGCTAAACTGATAATAAAAACCCCATATAATCCTAAAAATATAATATCAATATTATGAAAAAAATGTCAACCAATTAAATTTTTAAAAAATTAAGAGAAAAATATCTTAAAATTATTTTATTTCAATGAAATCACATTAAAAGGGCTACAATAATTTATTTTTAAAACAATAGTAAAATTATTATAATATGTTTTATGATATTTTATTAAAATAATTTAATTTGTTGACATAAACATTCATCTCTACCTAATATTATATATCTTTATTTTTCATCGACCTACTAGTTAGCAATATTATTGAGTGGAAGATAAAACTCGAGTTTGACTTAAGTAAGATCAAATTAGGCGGCTAACATGTTCCACGACTTATTTGCTGTTACTCTAGTAGAAGACAACCCTTGGTTCAGATCCAACGTGCACTGCCGATCAAAATAAGTAAATAAATAAATAATAAAAATTCTAAGCCACACTCTAGGGAGTCTAGACCTGAAGTCAATAATTCCTCGACACTACAATAACATGACAATTGACAAATCGATATGAATAGGACCAACTTACTTGGCAGCGAGAAAAAGATTTGCCAATGTATATTATTTTTGAGCTTTTTATTTTTTTGCTTTTAGTATACTTTTTATATTTAAAAATCACATTAAATTTTAATTGATTTAAAATCAAATCATATCAAATCTTATAAAAAAAAATTTTAATACTTATTTTTTTATTAACAAAACTCAAAATTAACATATTATTTTAAAAAATAAATTGTCTTCTAATCAAACTAACATATTCGTTAGGTTTTGAGCATTTTAATTATTTTTAGTCTAAATTGATATTTGATCCTATTAGCATGAATTATAATGAAGATTTATGTTATTACTATTATTTTTATTTTGATATTGAGTTATATAATAAATAATAATCATTTTCATCTCTTAATTCATTATCACTTTCATGATGTATGACTTAAATTTATAATTTTTTAATTTCACTAAAAAAATTTCGTTTACTTCCATTTCAAGATAAATAATATTTTTGAAGAAAGATATTTTAAATTATTTAACATTATAAAAAGAGCAATGTATCATTAATTTTTTTTTATTTTTCCCCTATTAATTGTTAAATTTTAGAAATATTAATGTTTAAACATGGAGCATGTTGAAAATTTTAAAACAAATAATTTACTCAATTTAGTCTAATTGTGATTTTTTTTTATAAATTTTATAATTTTGAATAAGAAAATTCATTTAATTTTATATGTTGTTGCAACATATATTATTAAATTATTAAAAAATAAAAATAAAAATAATTTCAATATTAGTATTAAATATGCTTATAGTTTTAGTTATTAGGATTAAAAATAATTTTTTATTTTTTATTTTTTTTTAATAAAAGAAAAAATTTTAAAAATTAAAATTAAAATCAAAACCAAAAACCATAATTATAACTATATTAATCGAAATCGAAATTTGAAATGTCGCAGAGTTTTCTCCGGAGGATAATTCACTAAATAATTATAAAAAATTTCCTAAAAAATATGGAAAAAAAGGTACGGTCCTTAATTAATGCTATTAATGGTAGAATTAAACCAAACCAATGCACAGATCATCTCGCACATGATGCCACGCCGTCGTGTTCCCTTCCAAGAGCAAGGTCCGAGTCATTCTTATGTGGGCCACTGACCCACTTGTAGTTGAGTGGGCCCACATTTCCCATGCACCGCATCTAACACATTGAGGGTCCCATCTCCACAAAAGCCTTTTTGCTCTTTCGGTTACTTTACTAAATCTGCCGGTCAGGGACAGAATACTGACCTGAATTTCTAGTGACTGAATTCCACTGCCCCTTTGAAATTTTGGTGTCTTTGACTCTTTGTTCTCCAACGTTTTTCTGCCTTACAATTGTAAAGTTGGTAGCCACTAGCCACTTTAGTTGGATACTTAAAACCACCAAATGTCGGTTTCGACTATGGTACTCATTTTATTAAAATAATTTAAAAATTATTTAATTTAATTAATATTTTATATGTTTATAATTTTTTAAATAATTAATTATAATATTTAAAAATATTAATTTAAAATTTTAATCTAATTTATCAAATAATAAATATTAATTATTTTATTAATTATCAATTAATTTTAACAATCACCCTAATTAAATAAAATTAATAACATTTTGGTAGTTTGATAATCACTTTTTTTTTATAAATGATTTTCTCTGTCAAATTTAGAGAGTATGAAGTTTGAATTACATCTCAACGTTAAACAAAAAAATTAATTAACAAAAATAAATAGTTTTAATTATAATCACAACTCCCAAATGCCTTTGCATCTCTTTTATATATATATATATATAGTAGTCTACTACCCTTTCGTATGTTTGTTCATAAGATTAACTCTCAATTAATTTTGCACATAATATTAATGGCACGTGTTTAGAAGATATTGAGTTCGTAAAAGACTCTGCGCAGAAGAGTACAGTGTTTGAGATTTTTAGAGGGGGAAAGCGTCTCCATTTAGAGAGCTCCTCAATTATTCAAGGGCAGAGGGCGGAGAGGTTACCTAAAGTTTTGAAAAATAATTGATCACATTTATTAAATTTTATTTTTGTCATTTTATTCTTAAATTTTAATTTACTTTTTATTATTTAGGAGAGTGTTTGGGAGAGAAAGAAAATTTTGTTTAAAACAAACTTATTTTTTACACTCTTCGGAATAACATTTTAGAGATTGTTTGGTAAAACATAAAAATTATTTATTTTTAAAATATTATTTTTCTGTTATAAGTTTAAAACTTTATCAGAGCGAAATTTAAAAATTGTTTTTAAAAGTGATTTTTAAATAAGTTTTTAAAAAATTATAAAAATTACACATCTAAATTTTTTTTTAAAATTTATTTAAAACTTACTTAAAAAATTATTTTTTAGTGTTCTTTTACAAAATTTTAAATTTATGAAAAAAATAATATTTTTGAAACAAATATTTTTTAAACTTTACAAAACACCCTTTTAGTCAATTTCTTAATCAAGGTATTATTTTGTCCTCCAAAAATTTATTTAAAACTTAAAAAATTATTTTTCAGTGTTTTTTTTTCAAAATTTTAAACTTATGAAAAAAAATAATACTTTTGAAACAAATATTTTTTAAACTTTACAAAACACCCTTTTAGTCAATTTCTTAATCAAGGTATTATTTTGTCCTCCAAAAAATATTTTTTGATTCAGCTATTGCTTATTTGATGGTTTAAATTGTGTCCTATAATCCAAATTGAATATTCGAACCCTAGTGGTTCACTTTAAATTTTAACGTATTTGAATTAATTGATCGAGATTTTAAATCTCATTAATATGAAAAATTTTTCCCCTTAAAATTAAATTATAAACTGTTCAAAAAAAAAAGTGTACTGTAATCCATAGCCGCGTTCTACAGCCACGTCCGCAATGCGCAATGAGACAGGTTGGGTTTTTGGGTGTGATTCGGTTCAATGCACATGTAGATCTATCGAAGTTGAACAGCGTTTTAAGATGGAATTCAAGCCCAAAAGTAGCAACTAGGCTCGGGATCCAAACCCCGCCTAACTTGACGGATGAAGCCCAAATTGCACCCAAAAGGAAGTCCAAAACTTGCG